AAAAAATTAATCAATTTGTCTAATTAGCAAATTTTGTTTAGGATAAATTAATGCAAAAAATAAAAAATATTATAATCACTTAATGTTATTAAAGGTAAAAAAATAAAATTGAAACTTATTAGATAAATATTAATTAAAAACTATGATAAAAAATTAACAAATTAAAAAAGATAAATTTATCAATAAAATTAAAAATTTTCAATCCGCTAGCGGTTTGATACAAAAAATTACTTAAACTACATTTTTTAATCCACTAGCAGTTTGAACCCTAATCACTATTCACTAATCCCATATCGTTAAATAAAAATTTTTACCAAACACTTTGTTTATAACAATTTCAAAATATATAAATTTATTAAACACTTATACTTAGCGGTTTAGACAAAACTACTAATTGTTACCTCAAAACTGTTATACCAAACGAATTCTTAGTATAACTTGAGAAAAATATTGAATAGATCAAAAAATCCAATTATCACATAAATAATAAATACATTGAAAATATATCAATTTAAATTTTATATTAGTTGATTATGATAAAATTAAATGTTTTAAAATCTCAAATCTTAGTATCATTTAAGTTAATTTATTTTTTATTAGTTTAGTTTAGTAGTTCACTTAAAATTTTTTTTATTTTAATTGTTTAAATAAAATTAAAATTAATCAGTTTTAATATTTGATGATATTTTATTCTTATTATTATATATTATTAAAAGTGACATAATTTTATTAAAATTAGCAACAATTTAAATAATTTAGTAGTCATATATTTTTGCTAAAAATAAAAAATTTTAAGTTCGAATAACATAACATACAAGTGAAATGAAATAAAAAAAATAAAAAATAATTATCTCTAATTATATAAGCAAGATAAAATAAAAAAATTTCTTATTAAAGTTAAATGAACTCACCAACTTTTTCGTGCCGGGTACATGGCAAGTCGGCAATCCGTGTCTATTCTTAAAAATAGTTTTGAGCTTTATCAAGACAAAAAAGGGGAAAGATACCGTTCCAATAAAGGAAACATATATTCTTTAATGGTGACCTCTTATATTACATCTCCAGTAAGCACATTGATATTCTTTCACTCTCACCAAATGTGGAGCTCTTTTATTACATTTGTTCATAAAAAAAAAGGGCTCTTCTATTACATTTTCACTAAGCACCATGCCTCTAGGCTGTTGCTAAAGCAATTGAAAATATCCTATTTATTGACACTCCACTTTGTCCCCACTTAAACTGAATAAGGGTATCCTATTCAGTAGGCTGAAGATACTGTTTTTTCTATATTACAACTTAAAAGCATACTACCTCGTGTAAAAGCTCATAAAAAATCATATCTTCTAGGTCAAGTGCCACACATTCAGCCTCCAATTGATGGTTCATCCAAGAATCTTTTTCCAAATCTCTAGAAACAATATCATCTAGTGACTGGTCAAGGTCTGGTGTAGACTCTAAATTCCTGCAAACTTTTGCCCATATTTCCTGGAGAAGTTGGTGTCCTTTAGGTGATTGACAAACGCGTGAGCTAAAAGAGAAGGCCTTTGGGAAGTAGACAGCTGATTTATTAGAGATCTCAAGTAGTGCCTCATTAACTAGATCAAAGAGAAGTTGGCGATAGCAGTTAATGCCATCCTTCTCAAAGGAGGATTCAGGTACTTGGTGCAAGCAAGTCTCCAATTCCTTGAATAGTGATGGGTTCAATGGCTGGTCTGGTGAGTACCATGTTCTGAGGATCTCATTTCCTATGAAGCCTGAGAGCTCAAGAACATCTCTTACATAGTTGAAGCAAACATCACCCTCTTTATCAGAATGGAGTGAGTAATTGTTGATCCCTTCAGTTTCATGTTTAACACTCTTGTCATTTACAGAGCAGCAAGTGGCAGATAAAGAAACTTCACCCAAGTGGTCATGTCCATCAGGGCCAATAAAACATGTGTGTGCCTCATCCTTATGGTGGTCCTCCTGAGAATTCAATTCTGAACCTGATGAAGATTGACCAAAATAATTAGCTAAAACAGATTGCATTTTACCATAAAATATATATTAAAATTTAATAAGTGGTCATTCTTAAACCATAATTGCATGCCTAACATAAATGTAAATGCGTTATAGTAAAGGTGAGTTTATTTACCTTCTGAGATTGGAGGGTCTGCCTGACTCGTTAGACCATCTAGAGAAGATGTATGAGGGATTGACTCTGAACTTAGTTTTATGAGCTCTCTACTAGCATTGATTGTGAAAACATTCTCTTGTTCTTGGTGAGGATTGTCTTCTCCTGTTTCAGGCTCAACTATATCTTCACTTATGTCAGCTAGTTCTGCAATTTCTACATTGTTTCTATCCACTGACAACTCGATTGGACAATGGTCATTTTCTTCAATCACTTTTTCCTGAAATTTAATCCCTGGAGTAGCTTCTTGGGGTTCAAGATTGTCTCCATCTCTTTCATTATTTGCAACACAATTTGAAGCAGAGCTAATAGGCATCTCCGAAGAAAGAGCATCACAAGATAGCTCATTTAGAATAGAACAAATAGACTCGAGATCAGACAGAGAGGAAATCCTTCTGACGTATTTTGGAATGCGGTACCTTGAAGAAACTTTCTCTTCATCCCTCAATTTTAAGCTTCTAGACTGATGCAAAGCAGGTTCCTTGCTGAAATTATGTTGGAATAATTGAGCATATCTATCCAGTGACTCATTCAGAGAGGTTGTTCTCCTCATGAGATAGAGACTCTTGTTCCTATCATGATCTAAAACATCAACCACCTCATTACATTTTGTGGGACTCTTCATACCATCCTGGCTCATGCTAGTCTTTCTTGAACTTCCAGACATCTCTTTCTTATCACTGGGGAGCCCTTTCATGTTTTTGCGGTAACCCCTCCTCCTTTTTTCCTTGAGTGCGTGCTTTATTCTCTGCTTAAGATCTTTGACATGATTCACAACTATCTGATCCCACCTTTGGTGATTAGCTCCCTGAAATGAAAGGCTTGTTTCTTGTGTTATGGTATTCTCAACACCATTAGTATCATCAGTTTCTGAAGCCCTTGATTTCAATACTTGAGTGCCATCAAGCAATCTCCCTGCCTTTGAGAATGACCAAATTTCCTTCTGCTTGTGCTCGAGTGTACTAGGCTTAAGACGTCTATTGTGAAATGAATCAAACACAGGAAATGACCCTGATTTGGTAAATTTTCTACTTCTATTGGAAGCTGGGAAATGGTTTGAGACTCCAACATCTGGATGTTGCAAGATGTCAAAGAATAACTCCTTTTTCACTCTAAATATCTCAAGAACATCCACAAACTTCTTAACCTGACTACTCGAAACTTCTCCGTTGAGCTTCTTAGCTTTTGACTTCTGATTTATAGAGTTTTGCTCTACTTGATCCGACTCTTCCTGGAAGAGAGAATGCATTTTCTTCTGATTTATTGAATTTTTTCCGTCAAAGAAATCGGTATTCTTATTGCTCCTAACCAGTTTGTCGAGGTTCTCTGGTAGAGATGAATTATGCATTCTGGTGCTAGAGGTGTTGGCTCTCTTCTGTATGAGAATTATTGGATTCATCCAACCAAGACCAGAACCTGAAGGCTCTAAACTATGTATCGAATCAGTTTGCGACAGCTGTGATTGCATAGATAAATTCAGAATCCGGTGCTTGTTCTCTTCCTCGGACTTCTCCTTTTCTATTAAGGCTTTTAGAGAGGACTTCCGGGAATTTTTGTTGATTTTGCTACTTTCTATCTTCTGTTCAACCTGATAAATTTATGGTGCTTCAGTTAAATATCGCTTATGCCATAGAAACATTTTCCAATCTCATAACATAAATCGATTAAGACTCATAAAAAAAACATTAATTTCACATATTCTAGAACTTTTAATATATATATATATATACACACATCAACTTACTTGAAAGATGTCTGATTCAGCATCTAATGGTCTCATATCTTCTTCACCTGGCTCATGTTCTAAAGAAATTGTTTTTGGATTTGCACAACCTACAAACACATAAGAAAACAGAGTTGAGTAACTTTAGAACCAAAGTAGAGCAGTAATTCATGTCACAGTAGCAGTGGAAATATCCAAAGATCATACACAAAATATAGACTACTTTAGCATGAACTTCACTGAAATAAACTCAAATTTGGATTAATTAAAATTGAGCAAGGATTGATAGAAAAAGTTGAGGGAAGGATGGCTTACATCCAGCACGCCTTCCTTTCTGGTATCTTCTGTATGGAAGCATCTTCTTCACATTATACCAACGGTTGGAATCAAGAACATGTCGTATACCCCACATGCAACTTGGATGATAATCCTCAAACTCAACATCTGAGTGCTCTGACAAGCCCTTTCCCATCTTGAACACTACAGCAAAAACACCCTATTCCTTGAAGCCTGAATCGACCTGAATGACAAATTTGATCTTCTACTACCGTTCCCCTTCACCTGAGCAAGAACACAAACAACTCGTAAACAACAACAACAACAATAACTTGGTTCAGAAACCAACACCAGGATTACCCAAAAACACAATTTCTCAATAAGCTTTCAAAATCAATTCCAGAACCCAAAAACAAAAAGGAGAGAAAAAGGTACAGAAGCCGTAAATCAATATTGTAACATCCTTAATCCTTTAATCAGTTTTGAAACAGCAGATACACTTACTGTGCAATGAAAGTTACATGATATAACAGAAAGCCCTTATCCAAATTTCACAAAGTAAACCCCCAGAGAGAGAGTAACAGAACAACATTAAAAGCCTAACCTGAAGAAAAAAGGGCTTGGGAATCGGATTGCTAACTCTCCATGAAAAACAGAGCTCCAAAGCTATGGCAGCTTGAAACAAGATAAAGGAATTTACTTCCTTTCTGGGTATTAAAATATAAAATCAGAAGATATGTTGCTTTAACGGACACAAAGGCTGAGGGAAAAAGACAAAAGGAGAAAAAGAAGATGAAGGTGGTTAGGTCTTTGTTTCTGTTATACCAAGAACACTGGAAAACCAGAAGGAACAAATAGACGCCATAGTTTGTTACAGAGGCATCACTTACCCGCCGAGAATGGTCCACAATGTTGGCTGTTTCAAAAGACCGGTGGAAAGCTAAAAGCCAAAGTCTTTGAACTAAGCTTTTTCGTGGGGTTGAGATTAGATAGCTAAACAATTATACTAAAATTGGACTCTGGACTATGGAAGTTAAACAACTAAAACAAGAATTTTGTGCAGATTACCAACTTCATTAGGTACTCATAAAAACCGTTTATTATCATGAAAAGGAAAGATTTTGGGGAAGTTAAGCTGTCTTCGAGATTAAGCTGATGGCAGGTTCAAGTTTCTATATCATTAGAAATATGTCACTAGAAATAGAACATAATATGAGTAAAGCTACACTTATATATAAATTTTATATATTATATTTATATAAAATTTTTATTTTTTATTATTAAAATTTATCATATTTTTTAAATAAAAATAATTATTTTTAATAAATATAATAAAAATAAATAATTTCTATAAAATAAAAAATAATTAAAACTTTATAAAAATATAATATATAAAAATTATATATATAAGTGAATTCTAAATCTAGTAATATATTGGATTTATCTTAGAGCATAAGATAACAAATTATAATTAAATTATTATTGATTAATAATTATTATTTTTATTTTAAAAATAATAAAGTTAATTTTTATTTTAATTGTAAATATTATGTATTAAATTTTTATTAATTTATTTTAAATTAAAAAATAAAATTATCTTATTAATTTAAAATTTCATATTTAAAAAATATATATATTATAATTATTACTCAACTATTGCTCTAAACACAGGATTACATACCCTAATATATTATACTCCATCTCCTCATAATTTATAAAATAGACTTTGCATTCAGGCCCCTGCCCCACTCTTAGAACTTTGTGCAACCTACAATCAAATAGGGTAATGATTGACATTCATTCATAGAAGTGGGCAATTTTAGATAGTTTTACTGACAATTTGCTGAATTTTTTGTAATCTTTTTCTTCATGTATCAGTGGTTTTGTTCAGTGGTTGAGATTTTAAAAGGAATGAGCTGCATCGGTGTAGTAAGAGTATATTTGGTAAAGTTGACAAGTATTTCAGATTTTTTAATATTATTTATATTTTATAAATTTAAATTTTTTTAAAAAAATTTATATTTTTAAATTTTTTTTAATTTTAAAAAAAATATTAAACAGTAAATTTTAAAAAATTAAATTTTTATTTTTTAATAAATTTTTAATTATTTTTTAGATAATTTTTATTATTTTTAAAGATAATTTTCAAATTTTTTATTTAATAAAAATTTAAATTTATAATTCATAAACAATATAAAAAAAAATTAAAAAAACTCAACCAATGAGTCTGAAGAGTGGTTGGAAGAACTTTTGTCGAAACTTGAACTTATGAGAGTAAGTGCTGGGACCTTTCAATTCTGTCATTGAAAGAGAGATCTATGAACAAATTGATGACGAAATGAGGGGGTAAGCAAAAACTGTTTTTGGTTTTCTTCGATATATTCATTTCTATAATTTTATTAATGACGTATGTATTACATTATCAACCATTGTTAGTTTACACTTCAAAACTAACTAATGTAATTTTTTTATTTTTTTAAGTTGATCCAAACAAATCATTTTTTTGTCAAAACTTTATTTTACCCCATAAAAATATTTATGTTCTCGCCATTGAGATTAATTATAATGAAATAATAAGAAAGTATGATGTTAAAACACTAACTTATTCATAAGAAATGAACAAATTTATCTTAATTTAATCAAATTTTATATGTTTAGTCCATTTAGAATTCAGGCTTCAATGTTGACCAAAACAAGTGAGATTCTTGCTAAATTTAAATAGGGAAAAAAAAAAAGGCAAAAGGAAAAAATAAAAATAAAAACACAACGCAACACAACCACTCGTACGTAAGAAGCTAGTTATTTCAACTATTAACTAAAAAAATAATAATAATACAAATTTCATAAACATACGTCAAAGAATCTAAGATCGAGTTTCGTATTCACTCGTCTAGAAAAACATCAATGATTTTGTTGTTTTTTTCCTGTAGTTTACTTTGAAGTCACATGTAAAACTTTGAAATATCCTCGTAAATGACCCCTAACCCATTATCACTTTAATATGACTTTTTCAAACTTAATTGTCACGCTCAGCAAAGTAAGGCCACCAACAGATACATCAAAACAAAGATTATTTAAAAGAAAATATCAATAATTTAATTTAATTATGTAGAACATAAAGACTTTGTTTAGTTAACCTGTTAAAAATAATTAGTAATTTTAACAATTAATAAAATTAATAGCTTTAACTATTAAATTTGTTATTTTATAATTTAAATTATTTTAAATTATAAAATAAAAATTTTTAAATAAAATGAGAGACATTCCTTATTTAAATGTCAGTATTTTTCATTAACCATTAGTGAATAACTATAGTTAATATCTATTATCTAATTATTTGAAACCAGTTTATAAAATTATTTTTCCAATTCCGTAACATATATAACATACAACTATAATACGTTATTATCAACCAAAACAAATAGCTTTTACGGAGTATATATGTACATGTAGCAAACATATTAACTTTTATACTCTAAACCAATACTTGGAGATTTCGTATGTTCACTTGTTAACAAATACAAATAATTGGTTTTGATGCTTGAAATAGTCTCATTTGGGCGGAGTCTCATTTTTATGGACCATGAGAGTTGTAAGTATTGCTTCAATTTCTCTCGTTAACCATATCCTACCCAAGAAATACAAATACATAGTAAAAAAATTCCTCAACTTGGATAGGAATGGAACACCAAAATTGACAATTTGATATGAAAAAGACTAGAGGTATCAACTTCCCATTAGCTTCTTCGAATACATTGTGCCACGCCGAGTTGAATAATTGAGTTGACTCAGCTCATAGGGGGATTAACAAGTTTTTACCCGAAATTTCTAGAACATTGACATTTTAATATTAAGCGTAAAAGCTTTCATAGTATTAGAGATTTGAAGAGTAGACTTGATCAAAATTTGAAGCCACCTAATTAGAGTGTTTTACCATTCAAATTAACATTCTTTTGAAATGTATAAGGTTTTCAAGTGTGAATTGGTTATCAGTCTTAGATGGGAAAAGCTTGCCCCTTCTGTTCGGGTAGAATATGTGCTAAGGTTGACTAGTTAGAAAAAACATGCAAAACAAACACCCCAAGTCAGCTTAGGGCTCCTTAGAAAGAGAGAGAAAGAGAGAGAGAGAGGACCATAATAGAGAGAAAGTGCCAAAGAGAGAACTCTTTATTTTTATGGGGGTATTTTTGAAGTGTTTTACATGTATCGCGCTATAATTGACTTTTTTAGATCTATTTGAATATACATAAATTTTATAGAATCTGTCTTGTCTTGTGTTCTTTTGTTTTTGGGTCTAATGGACTTTTATTTGGTTTATAAACTTGTTCAACCACTAATCTAACACCTATATTTAAGGAGTTTGCTCCCATTTAATAATTGACTTTATACTGAACTATGGCAAACATATTTGAAATACATAAATATATATTTAACGGTTTAAGTAAAACCACTAACCACTACCCAAAATCACTATACCAAAACGGATCCTTATATTCAAATCTGTCCAGTCACTAACTTGTTATATGGCATAAAAAAATACATCTACCAGTACAACAGGTACAAATAAAAGAAAAGAAGAGGAATAAATATATATATGTATGTATGTATGTATATTTTTGTGTGTGTTGAAAACTTGAAATACCAGAATTAATTTTTAAAAAGGGTATTTCGGATCGAAGGTTTGGGCCAAATTGAAAAGTCCAAGGCCAAATTGGGCCTCCGGTTCTGAATCAGAAAAATTGATGTGGTGTGGGCCCTAAACGAATTTGCATCCAAAGCCAGCCTGGCCTCTTCAGAAGGACCATCTTTGAGGCCTAAACGAAGAGATGGGACCAATAATTAATGAATAATGATAAATAAGATTAAAATTTGAAATTGAGAATACGTCATAAGTTATATTATTTAAAATATTAAAAAATAAATTATATATTATTTAATAATTAATTTTAAAATTTTTTAAAATTCATAATATTATTCATAATATTACATACATCAATTAATTTAATATATGATTTATGTTATGTTATTAGTACAAAAAATTTTATCCTTTCTATTATTACCCTAATTAATTAATTTTAAATTTATTTTAAATTAATTATTTTTTATTTTTCAAAATAGATAAATAATTTTTTTAGTTTAATTTTATCTTTATTTATTTTAATTAATTATCTTATCATAAAAAAGTATCACTTTACTTTCTTTGTCCTGAAATAATTATTGTTTAACTTTGAATTTATCATAAATTAATTATCATTTTTTATTTTTAAGATAAATAAATATTTTTTCTATTTTAATTCTATCATTGTTTATTTATTTTGATTAATTATCATATTATAAAAAATTTTATTTTATTTTTTAACTTTTTCTTAAAAATAATATAAATAAATATATGAATTATCTCAAATCTTTAATTTATAAAAAGTTATAAAATAGAAAGAATAGTAAGTTATTTTTATCCTTTTTTATTAATAGAAGAAAATTTTTCAAGGAAAAGAAAAAATAAGACCTAGAAATAGAATCTAAGCTATTCATATCTAACCGCACATCTTAAAAAAGATGACCACTAGGTAACCTAATGTTCAACAAATTTTTTTTTCTTTATTTCTTTATTAAAGTTAATCTAAATAAATATATAAATTATTAGAAAGAAAAAATAACTTCATCCCAAATTTTACATATTTTACATTATTTTGAAAGAAAAAAGAATAATAATTTTGTTCAATTATTCCTCAAAAGGGAGTATGAAAACATGTGAGTCCACTCTCCTCTTATCCATTCCATCTCCCCCACCCCTACCCCTCGAAGGCCCCAACCCACTTCTTTTACTATAAAGTATAAAGTAAATGATTTAGTACTTCATTTGTGCTCGTCATTTTGTCCCTTAACTTAAAATTTGAATAATTAATTTATTAAAAAATAAAAATAACTACTTTCGTAAGATCTAAAAATTGCAGGTTTTGGCTTTTGAGGCACCTGTGCTTTATGGTTTAACAGTCATAAATCGACTTGTAAAGTACTATCTCTCAACTCGAAAATTAGGGTTCGATCCTCCCCTCTCTCAAAAATTATAACCTTGATAAAAAAAAAAAATAATTGCAGGTCTTGAGGTAAGAGGTGGTGGTAGAAATCTAGATAATTGGATCTGAGTCTTTTTCCCGGCGAACGAAATTCGGAAAAGGTGCCGCCGTACCAGGGGTGGGTGGTACTTTGCCGGCCGGCGCGTGTTCCACTCGCCGGGAACAGCGAGTGCCGAGTGGGAAAATAACATGTTCCTTTCCAAAAACGCACATCACCATCCGCAAATCATTGTGATAATCCCCTCATCCCCACCTCACCCATCCCAGACGCTCCCGACTCCACTTCACTGAGTTCACTCCCCACACACACTGCATTCAAAACGCAACTCTCTCCTTCTGCAAAGAGAGAGAGAGAGAGAGAGAGAGATGGCAATTCCTTTCTCTATTTCCCATATTACCCCTCTCACTTTTACTTTTTTATTCCTCCTGCTCTCTTCATCCACCACCATCACCACCGCCGTTGACGTCACTACTCTCCTCTCCTCCTTCCAAAACCTTTCCTCATTTTCTTCTCTTCTATCCTCCACGTCCGTCGCCACTGACCTTACCCAGCGCAATTCCATCACTCTCCTTGCCGTCACAAACCCCTATCTTTCTTCCTCCTCTGACCTCACCCACCGCCTCTCTCAATCCTCCCTCGCCGACCTTCTACGCTACCATGTCCTCCTCCGCTACTTCTCCTGGTCTGACCTCCAGAAGATCCCCCCGTCTGGTGTCCTCGTCACCACGCTCCTCCAGACCACCGGCCGTGCCCCATCCAACTTCGGCTCCGTTAACATTACCCGCAACCCTATTACTAATTCCATCACGGTTCAATCCCCTGCCCCCTATTCCCCCTCAAATGCCACCGTTATATCCCTAATCAAAACCCTCCCTTATAACATCACCATACTCGCTGTTAATTCCCTCCTCGTCCCCTACGGCTTCGATCTAATGGCCTCCGACACTCGCCCTCCTCCCAACCTAAACATCACCAAAGCCCTAATCGACGGCCACAATTTCAATGTCGCCGCATCCCTGTTGGCCGCATCTGGCGTTGTTGAAGAATTCGAGGCAGATGAAGCAGGGGCTGGGATCACTCTGTTCATCCCCACGGACCTCGCATTTGCAGATCTACCTGGAACGGTGAAATTGCAGAGTCTTCCGGCGAAACTGAAAGCTGTGGTGCTGAAATTCCACGTTCTTCATTCATATTACCCTCTGGGTTCACTAGAATCAATTGTAAATCCCGTGCAACCCACATTGGCTACGGAAGACAACGGAGCCGGAAGCTACACCCTCAACATTTCAAAGGTTAATGGATCAGTCGCGATCAATACCGGTATCGTTCAGGCTTCCGTGACGCAGACTGTGTTCGACCAAAATCCGGTGGCGATTTTTGGGGTATCAGAAGTACTTTTGCCGAGGGAAATTTTCGGGAACGATCCCTCCGTAATTACTCCGAAGCCGGGAAATGAGGGGGAGGGGACAGCTCCCTCGCCGGATATTTCACTCTCACCGGAGAATTCCCCGGGACTGAGTGGACCAGCCTCCCATCTGTCATCACCGCCTGGGTTTCGCGAAGAGATTCGATCAGACGGTAATAGATATCGGGTGCACAGCTACATTATTGCGCTCTGTTGTATGGTATTACATTCAATGGTATGGGCTTAATTGTTTTTTCATTTTATTCTCATAATTATTGATTATTTTGTTTGGTTTATTTTTTTTTTCCCCATTTTTTACACTGTGAATTGTATTTCCGGCTACAAAAAATGAGCCATTTCCTTTTCTTTTGTGGAATTTCTAGAGAAACATGTTAAAATGTTAATTATGACTAGATTTTTAATATATATTCATATGAAAATCAACTTCTTCTTCTTTTTTATATAAATGTATTTTTTTATATAAATTCTATTTTTTTAATCATTTAAAAAATAAAATTAGCAAATATCTTTAACAAATTTTTTTATATTTATTTATTTAATAATATTTTAATCATTTAATATCTAAATTATTTTAAAAATACCCCAAAAAAAAAAAACACTTTCTTTTGAAAATACAAATAAAGATGGATACTTTCCAGCGGGAAAATGCGGAATGGGGGTATTTCGGTAAAAAAAGCACAGCTTTTTTTTTTTTTTTTGCAGGAACTACACAGAGAATCTATTCTGTACCTGTTTGGATTACGATGGGTATGGGTTGGATTTTTTATTTAGTTGCCATTATGGAAAGGTCATTAGTGGGTGACAGCCGGCAGTGGGGTCCGTCGGGTAGAGGCGGCTCCCGTCCGTCGGAACCGGATTGGAAAGGCATTGTACGGCCGGATGTAGGGGTACCGCCGTGCCGGTCCCTCCACTTCAAAGAATTTTTGTTCCTTGGAAAAAACAAAGGCTAATCATGCAACCTTGGGCTTTTGTTTTTCATCCTAAACTCATCACGTATACAGGATGGGCACAATGTCATATTTTAAGGTCTCCTTTTTCATATTAAAGCCCAAGGTTTTATGCTATTTTGGGCCAACAGATTACACATAGTTAGGCCCAACATTTTGCAAATTTGAAACTCATATGATGTAAACATTGCGAAGATCATTGGAGGCCCAAATCTTTCCCTCTGTCGTGGCAGCTGCAGTCTAGAGTTCATAGTCGACAACCCAATAGCTCTGCTCTACTGCCTAATTTTCAAGTTTTCAATGCCATAATTTCTTTCTGAAAATTTGATGACTGCTTAAAGGAGATGATAGTTGGGCGGAAAAGGGAAAAGAACGCCGTTATGATTGATTCTTTTTGCTCAGAATCGTCGTGTTAATTCATATGTATCTACTTATATTTTTTTGTTCTCTTTACGGACCAATCATTTTCAACCTATATAACTTTAACTACCACTTTAATCAAATGAGTTGGAATTTAGATATTCAAGAGTTCTCACTTAATCACTGTTGAACTGTTGAATTTTGAATCGGTCATGGATAAGAAACTAATTATGTAATGAAAACTAGCATAAATGGGCAAGAATGTTGAAAGAAATTTAAGCAAACCACCCCCAAAAGGTCAAGAAAATTGAGTAGAAGTTTCTGAAATCAAATGCAATCAATATCCCTTTGTCAAAGCCAGAAAATGAAAGAAGAAAATGATGATGTGTGGTGTGGATTGTATTAGAAAAGCATAGCAAATAGAATTGCAACAGTTAGATTACTTGTATTTAGTGGAGGGATGAAACATGAAAGTGACCATGGTGGCTGCAATTGCACTTCCAGTCAAACCATCTCTATTGTGTTTGCTCAATGGCTAGCATTCTTCTATTCTTTAAAATATCTCTTTGGACTCTTTTTTTTCTTGAAATATTCTTGGTAATTAAGGTTTCCAGACTTTTAAAGAGTTCTGTTCAAAATTTTTTTTGTTGTGTTGATTTCAACCTTCAAGTTTGAATGAAGTGAACGGCTTTTCTTTTGTGAGTTGTTTAGCAAGTGTTTGATTTTGTTTTCTCTTGTACAGAATATGAAAGCACTATTACCAATCAAAGTCCAAAAAAGAGATCAAGTTTATTGTTTGTCCAAAGCTTGGGTTGATTCTTTTCATGACTTGTATAATTTCTTTTTCCTTTTTCAATTTACAATCAAGGTTTTATTAGGTCAATTTTCACTCACCTTAACAGTAATCCTTACTTAGATGAATTTATCTGCACACCCTCACTTTTACCTTATGCATATCAAACAATTTCCTTTGACCTTTGTTGGATAATTTCCTTGACCTTTCCTTAGTCATGCCAAACAATTTGTTGCAAATTACGGTATAAGGACTCCACAATTGATTGTTAGATATCAATACATGCCGATATAAACCCGATTCAATTTTAGAATCAGGTAAGATTTTGTCGTCACTTTCAACTGCAAAATCTGCCATGTGAGAGATCAGATAGTAGCAACACTCTGCCTTGACATTTTATATGCAAAAGATAATGAAACTTAAATGTTTTGATGTGAAATTCAGTTCTTTTGGAGGGGTACATAAAATTAGAACTCTGGGTTGGGGAAAATCCCATTTACAGAAGAAAAAAAAAAGTTCAAAAAAGAATTCAATGAATTAAATAAGATTAAGTTAAATGCTGAAGTGGACAGCAATATAAGTCAACAAAGGTGCATGGTACCATGGTGGTGCCAGCAAAGGCAAGAAAGGTCCACCAGGTAATAAAACCAAACACCCACTAAACCCGCCCACATCCTCAATGGATGGATGGACGGACCAAAGCTTATCAATATTTGCCTTCTTCACAACTTATGTACAACTCGAGATATAAGGATTCAAAACATCATTCTTATTATTATTTTTTTTTACAGTAAAAAATTTACCTACTCGGAGTTTTTTTTAATATAAAAATTCCCTTATTGAATGTGAAATTTTGATATTTTTCACATAGAAATACAAAAATAAATACCACAAGTATGATGGCCAAAAAAGAAAAAAAAAATACTACGAGAAAAAAGGGAAGAGAGAGAAATTGATAAGATGAAAACATACATAATCATTCATGTTTAGTGGTAAATGAAAGTTGATATCTTTTATAATTAGAGTGATTACTTAAATCATTTATACTTTGTTTAATTTGTTATCATGATATAGTAGAGATTGAGGTCGGGAAATATATTATTCTTTCATGATCATGATTGAGTATACAGTGATAAAGAGTGAAAGGAGCAAAGAAATAGTAAATTCAATAGTGAAAGGATTTTATTTTTCTTTTATCTTTTTTTTAAAAAAAAATTATTTGAGTTGATTATTATAACTAAAACAAAAAGTTACAAATATTGTTATTACAATTTACTACGATCAAGATTATAATTTTGGTTTAATGCCCCTTTTTTCTTTTGTTTGTGTTGATGAAAGAAATTTTGCTATGACCTCTTTTTTTTTATGAACCAACCCCTTTTGTTATATAAACACGTTTAAATAATATTTTTTTAAAAGCTAAGGTAAAAAAAGAGAGCAAAGGTTAACATATTTTAAAGGGAGAGGTGGGTGGGTCAAGGAATTGGGATTAGGGAGAGATGGTGGGATTAGGGATGTTTTTCCACTCGCAAATTTATGAATGATGGTGGCTTTGAATTCTCAAGTGGGATATTATTATGAAAGTGGACATCAAGCTTTTCTGTTGTTTAATTAAATCAATTAACATATATATAGGTTCTTTTCAACCCTCCATTTTATAATTAATATGTACCTTTTTCTTCTTGCAATTTGTTAGCATTTAATTAGGTCTATTAGGTTAGATTCATCCCTCATTCAATCAAAACTACAGTAAATAATTATTTGGTACTTGTTTAGGTCTACTTTTAAAATGATTTTTTTTTCTATCAAAAGTAAAGCTTAACCAAACACGAATCTCCAAAATGACTTTTGATTTTTCTGTAAATTACTTTGTAACTTCTAATTGGTCAAAAACTACAGCTCTACACGTGTTGCTTCTAGAGTATATCTTGTATTGTCAAATTTTTTAATTTGATCATTTTTATTATAATTTTATATAAATTCAAATGATCCAACATTTCTTTGAAAGATTTGCTCGATTCACAATAATAATAGACGTAGTCTTAAACATGTAAAGGTTAATAGAGTGTGATAAGAAATTATATGAATTATATTAAAAATATAAATTTAAACTTTCAATTATTATTTTTAAATAATGTATAATTTTATCAATCATGTTTATTATATTTATATAAAATTAATTTTAAATAAATTAAATTATTTATAAATAAATAATTGTGTGTGACTAGTTAGGATTAAAAGTTCAAATATCTATATTATAAAGAAATATACAAAAAAAAAAAATTAAATGAAGTAAATAATTTACAAAAATTATCTTTTAATAATTTCTTTTTAAAACCAAATTTTCACCAATAAAGTGGAAACTTCTATCCTTTATCAATTGGCAATCCGGTTGCATAAAAGAACCAAAAATACAATCTTATGCATGCATCTATTTCAATTTTTTAACCTAAATACTTTTTCAAAAGATTGAAAGATTCAATTTGATTTTGATAGTCTGCCAAGAACTCACTGTCACACGGTACCATTTATCAATTGTATACTCATTCAACTGCGTTTATATTTTGCTTACCCATGACAAACATGATTTTAGTATATAAAAAACTCATGGTATGAGTTTAACGTGTGCATTATTCAATTTAAATTTTAAATGTTAGCGTACAAATTGACTACTTGAACCTTACCCACAATTTGAGGCATTTGACTACAGAATAATTAGTCATGAAACATTTTTTTGACATAAAATTCAATAAAATAAAAGTCAACACATGGGAAGGCTTCGATTAGTCAAACTATGAAAGTTAATTAACCAGTCAATTAAAATTTTAGCTGTAATTGTAAATCCATTTCTAAATTATTATTTTCAATTGCTTTTATAGTGAGTATAAAAGTAATATACCGCACAAATATCTTAAAAAAAATCACTAGAGTCAACTCCATAATCTCAATTTTTTATTATCAAAGTAAAAATACTTAACACAAACTATTTTTTAAAAAATAATAATAAGGAAAACAAAATTTGAGAGCATCAACGTGATTTGTATTATATTATTACATTAATTAATGTATAAAATATTATGGAATTAAAAAAATAAAAAAATCATTAAATAATATATAATTTATTTTTCAATATTTTAAATACATAATTTATATTACATCATTTATCTTAAATTTTCATCATATTTATCATTATTTTTTAATTGTTATTTATTTGTTTTATAAAATTATATGCTTTGTTTGTTAGTATTTTATGTAAATCTTTTTTTCATATAGCATATTATTCAAAGATATAAATTTAAAAATTTTAAATTAATTATAATTAATATTTTATATATTTATATTAATTTTAATTATAATACAACACTATACAAACAAACAAAATTTAATCAAATTCAATAAAAAAAATTGAAATAAAATAACTTAAATCAAACATCGGAGAGCACCTAACTCAATTTAATATGACCTTTTCTTTTTATCTGAATAATAGCACTTTTTATTTAAATCATGTTCTGTAACATATAGGCAACCACCCCTCTTTACAAAAGTGAAATGAAAAATGAGTAAACAGGCAATTTTCCATTTTATATTTAAAAAATGAATAGAAAAAATGACAATTTCTGGAAACCTGGAAAGGTCAAGCTAAGCTGCTGAGCCGCGGAGGCGGAGAGAGTTGTCGGGAAACTTGGCGTTGACAAGAGACACTTATACAGGCAATAAGGATGTACCAAGTGTCAGTCAACCCTTGCTTTCATCAACCGTTCCCACTCCATCCAACGGCGACAGGGGCACGCTTCCCCACGCATTTTTAAGGGATTTTTTCGGCTCTGACTTTTCGAACAACCACTACTGCTACTACTATTTCAGAATTTATGACTTCTCTTCCAGTTTTCAGTTTTCACCCCCCACAACCTTGCTACAAACTCTTTTCAAGCCGCTCCACTGGCGCGTGCTAGCACGTGTCAATACCAATTTTGTTAAAATAATGATAAATATGATTAACATTTAAAACTAATGATATAATATGAATTATGTTATTTAAAATATTAAAATATAAATATTATATTATTTAATAATTAAATTTTTTTAAAAATTTATAATGTTATATATATTAATTAATTTAATTTTTTTTATACATCTTATTATAAACTATCTAAAAGAGAATAATTTTATCTTATTTCTAAATCTCTCTATACTTTACTTAAACGTAGAATTTAATATCTCCAACTTAGAATTTCAAATTTTTAACCATTGATATATCTATTAGAGTTATATTAATTAATTTAATAACATAACATAAACTATATTATCAATCTCAAATTTTTGTCTAAAATTTGTTTGTTCGTCCTTATCATTAATTTTGTTACCCTACATACTCTTTTACTTGTCAATTTTATTAAAAAGAGGTGACTTCTTAGATATAGTTTTTATTGTTAACAAAGTTATTATAACTTTTTTATTTAATGAGATTCTCAACCAATAATAAATATATTTTTTTAACTTTAAATTGTACAATAAAAAACAATTATTTTTTTATCAATTAACTCATTTTAACTATATACCATATTATTTGAATTTAGAATTTTTTACTTATACTCTCACCAAAAAAAAAAAGTAAAAAGATTATCATTAGGCACATTAGGTTGTTTGCCTAATAATAATAATAATAAATAGTATCTTTTTATTATGTGTCCTTAGTACACAAGTTAAAGATATAATTAATATATATTTTTATAATTAATTCTCATTAAAAGTAAAAATGTTAACTTTCATTTAATCAATTAATCAATTAGAATTATCTATGTGTTAGTAGTATTAAAATAAATGTTAGATTTTACAATTTTTATGTGAATTAATTATAAAAAATATATTTATTATACTCTTAATATACTTCTTTCATGATTTAAGTAACAAAACTTATATCTTAAGTTATATATATATATATTAACCTTTCGGTATTCAGTAATCATATTGAATCTCGATTAATTTGAAATCAAGTCGTGTCAAACTCCATTAGGAGAGAAACTCTCTCAGCATATGTTTCTCCATTCACAATATTCAAACTCGAAACCTTATTTAAGAAGAAACAAGTTTCTCTCACTTAGAACAATAAGTCATTGGTAACTTATAAGTTCACATATTAAGTTCACATATTTGAAAAAAAACAAAGCTAAAACTTATAGTTATTCTCTTCTAAGTTATCCAGTATGTATGGTAAAGTATAACTCAATTTAATATAACAATACTTATATATCCAGAATTAATATAATAGAAAGAGATGCATACAAATTGAGAGTACATCTCCATAGTTAATTTATTAACAAATATAGTTAGAAAAAGATCACACACTCCTATATAGAAACTTAAAAGTAACGTGTTGCTTAACCATGGTCTTATTTTTTTCATAAATT